ATCTTGAGATGGGAGGTTATCCTGGGTCTCCAGGTGGACCCTAAACATTATCACAAATGTCTTTATAAGAGAGAGTTTGCCAGCCCAGTGGCTCATGCCTGTAATCCCAGCATTTTGGGAGGCAGAGGCAGGAGGATGGCTTGAGCCCACGAGTTTGAGACCATCCTGGCCAACATGGTGAAACCCCATCTCTACTAATAATACAAAAATTAGCAGGGCGTGGTGGCGGGTGCCTGTAATCCCAGTTACTCAGGAGGCTGAAGCAGGAGAATTGCTTGAACCCAGGAGGTGGAAGTTGCAGTGAGTTGAGATCTCACCACTGCACTCCAGCCTGGGTGAAAGAGAGAGCCCGTGTCTAAAAAAAAAAAAAAGAAAGAAAGAAAGAAAAAAAAAAGGCCTGGTGTGGTGGTTCACACCTGTAATCCCAACACTTTGGAAGGCTGCGACAGGCAGATCATGGGGTCAAGAGTTTGATACCAGCCTGGCCAACAGGGTGAAACTCCATCTCTACTAAAAATACAAAAATTAGTCAGGTGCAGTGGCACATGCTGTAATTGGGAGGCTGAGGCAGGAGAATTGCTTGAACCCAGGAGGTGGAGGTTGTGGTGAGCCGAGATCGTGCCATTGCACTTCAGCCTGGGTAACAAGAGTGAAACTACAGCTCAAAAAACCAGCAAACAAAGACGAGATTTGACAAATGGGGAAAGGCATGGGGAGATGGAGGCCGAGACTGGAGCCAAGCGGGCTCAAGGCAGGGATGCCTGGAGCCCCAGAAGCTGGAGGAGGCAGGAGGAGTCCTCTGCTGGAGCCTCTGGAGGGAGCATGGCCCCGCCCATACCTTGCTTTCTAACCTCCAGGACCACAGAGAATCATTGCCACTATTTTAAGCCACCAAATCTGTGTGACTTGTTACAGCAGCCACAAGCCACTCAGACTGATGGCCAGAAGGACTGGACTCTAATGACAGAATCCATTCATCCCAGGATTTCAGTTGGTTTCTTGGACCTAATACTTCTAAGAGAGAAGAAGCCACACCTGGATTTTGTTCTTCTCACCATTGCCCTGTATCTGTCTGGGAAAAGCATTCACACAAAGCACACTTTGCTCTTGAACTTGGTGCGGTGAGACAATCACACTCTAGGGCAGAAAGCTTTCTCTTTTCCCTCCCTCTCCTCCTCCCCTCTCCCTTCCCTCTCTCCCTCTTTCTGTTCCCCCTCCCCACTTCTCTCCCTCCTTCCCTCCTTCCCTCCCTCCCTCCCTTCCTTCCTTTCATTCATTCATTTTTTCTTTTTGACAGAATTTCACTGTTGCTCAGGCTGGAGTGCAGTGTTATGATCTCGGCTCACTGCAACCTCAAGCGATTCTCCCTCCTTAGCTTCCTGAGTAGCTGGGACTATAGGCATGAGCCACTACCCCTGGCTAATTTTTATATATTTAGTAGAGATGGGGTTTCACCATGTTGACCAGGCTGGTCTCGAACTCCTGACTTCGTGATCTGCCCACTTCGGCCTCCCAAAGTACTGGGATTATAGGCATTAGCCACGGTGCCAGGCTTTTTTTTTTTTTTTTTTTGAAGCAGGGTCTTGCTCTGTTGCCCAGGCTGGGGTGCAGTGGTGCAATTGTAGCCTGCTGCAGCCTCAACCTCCTGGCTCTAGCAGTCCTCCTGCTTCAGCCTCCAGAGTAGCTGGGATGGCAGGCATATGCCACCACATTGGGCTAATTTATTTTTATTTTTTGTAGTGATGGGGTCTTGCAATGTTCCCCAGGCTGGTCTCAAACTCCTGTCCTCAAGTGGTTAGCCTCCTGAGTAGCTGGGTTTTTTGACAGTCTCAGTCTGTCGCACAGGCTGGAGTGAAGTGGCACAGTCTCGATTCACTGCAACCTGTGCCTTCCAGGTTCAAATGCCTCTCCTGCCTCAGCCTCCTGAGTAGCTGGGATTACAGGCAGGCACCGCCATGCCCAGCTGATTTTTGTATTTTTAGTAGAGACAGAGTTTCATCATGTTGGCCAGGCTGGTCTCAGCCCCACCACCACACCCAGCTAATTTTTTGTATTTTTAGTAGAGATGGGGTTTTGCTATGTTGCCCAGGGTGGTCTCAAACTCCTGAGCTCAGGCAATCTGTCCTCCTCTGCTTCCCAAAGTGCCAGGATTACAGGCTTGAGCCACCTCGCCCAGCCCTTAAATTATTTCTTTTTGAGACAGGGTCTTGCTCTGTCGGGCTGGAGTGCAGTGGTGCCATCATGGGTCACTGCAGCCTTGACCACCTAGGCTCAAGCAATCCTCCCGGCTCAGCCTCCCAGGTAGCTGGGACCACAGGTGTGAGCCACTACACCCAGCTAATTTTTAATTTTTTTTTTGGAAGAGATTTGGGTCTTACTATATTGCCCAGGCTGGCCTCCAACTCCTGGGCTCAAGTGACCCTCCCACCTCAGCCTCCCAAAGTGCTGGGATTATAGGCATGAGCCACCATGCCTGGCCTTTTTGAAATTTAATTTTTTTTAATTTTTAATTTTTTTTTTTGAGCAGAGTCTCATTCTGTCACTCAGGCTGGAGTGCAGTGGTGCAATCTCAGTTCACTGTAACCTCTGCCCCTGGGTTCAAGCGATTATCCTACCTCAACTCCCCAAGTAGCTGAAATTTACAGGCACCCACCACCACACCTGGCTAATTTTTATATTTTTAGTAGAGTCAGGGTTTCACCATGTTGGTGAGGCTGGTCTCCGACTCCTGACCCCAAGCGATTTGCTTGCCCCAGCCTCCCAAAGTGCTGGAATTACAGGTGTGAGTCCCTGTGCCCAGCCTGAAGCAATGTCTGTTTTAAAAACAAAAAGGAAATATCTATGCACCCCTTTTGCCCTTTTTATAATTGGGGGTTTTATTATTGTTTACTTGAAGGAATTCTTTACATATTTTGGATATTAGCCCCTTATCAGATACATAATTTGCAAATATTTTGTCCCAATCCATTGGCTGTTGATTGTATTTATGTATCTTAGAACAGGTCTTACTGTGTTACTCAGGCTGGGGCGCAGCGCTGCCCTCACGGCTTGCTGCAGCCTCAACCTCCCCAGCTCAAGTGCTGGGATTACAGTCCTGAGTCACTGTGCCCAGAGTGCAATGGCAGGATCTTGACTCACTGCAACCTCTGCCCCCCAGGTTCAAGTGATTCTCCCACCTCAGCCTCCCAAGTAGCTGGGATTATAGGCACTAGCCACTATGCCAGGGTAATTGTTGTATTTTTAGCAAAGATGGTGTTTCACCATGTTGGCCAGGCTGGTCTTGAACTCCTGACCTCAGGTGACCCACTGGCTTTGGCCTAACAATGTGCTAGGATTACAGGCATGAACCATGGCACCTGGCCTGGCCATAATTTTTAGAATAATTTTCTTATACAGATGAGGGTCTCATTATGTTGCTCACGCTGTTCTCCAACTCCTGGGCTCAGGCGATCCTCCTGCCAAGGCATCCGAAACTGCTGTCGTCATAGGTGTGAGTGGCCTCTCCTGGCCTGTACCTCTGCACCCCGGATCCTCCGACCTCCTTTGGACCCCAACGATGACTGGGACCTGGGCATCTCAAATGACCATAAAGACCAAGCTTTATGGTCTTGCCCAGCTGGGCAGCGATGGGACGCTTATACCCATGAAGTGAGCCCTCCAGCTGCAACCTGTGTTGTCCTGAGTCTGGCCTGCTGTCTAGGCTTCTATTTGGGAAGTGGCCCTCTGGGATGATGGAAATAACCTCCAGACCCTGAAAATAGCTGGTGTTGTGGCTCCAGCACACAGCTCCCTCAGCACCACCCCTTTGCTCACCGTGCTGGGCTGGTGAGCCCCAAGACCATCCTGCTGAGGCTCTGTGGCTCTGGTCACCATGCTGGAGCTGGGGATATAAAACCTCCGGTGGGACTGGAAGCAGGGACAGGTCAAATCCTAGCTCTCCTGAGGCCCGACATTCAAAGGGGTGGTGGGAGCCCCTCCTTAACATCAAATGGTGTGGGATGAGTCACTGCCCTCCTCCAGGGCTGGGGCTGGCACCGACTCACAAAAGGAAAAGCACTTCAACCAGGACTTGCTTTCTTCAGCCTGATTGAATGATTTGCATGCTCAGGTCTGTCCTCAGCAGTCAGCTTTCTGGAATGTTCAGACACCTCGTGGGAGGCAGACCCCTCCCCTCCTGGCTGGATCTTGGCTGGCCGTCGGTGTGATGGGGTCTGGGTGGGCCCCAAGCTGTGCTGGAGGGAGGCCCACTGGCCCATGAAAACAGTTTTTAACATCTTAGCTCATGGTCAAACAGCGAATAAGTGGAATAGGTAGGCTTGAGACCTACGTGGTTTTGTTGAAGGGTTTGTGCTCTCAACCAGCTCTGCTATGTGATTTACAATCATTTTACTTGGGGGCAGGCGGGGATCATGGAGATGAGAGAGCTAAGTCTCCAGAGGCCTCCTCCTACCCTGCTTTGGACCATCACCGACTCCAATGATGTGGCTACTCCTGAAGAATAAACTGTGTTAGGGTTGGAGGCGGGATGGTGAGCAAGGCACACGCTTGCTTTTGATTTATTTATGCTATACTGTTTGCAGTACTTTTATACAACGAACTTGTCTGACATTCGTAGTTATAGTTTTAAAAATAAGGTTCTTTGAAAAAAAATCTTTTTTTTTTTTTCGTCTACTGAAAATCTGTTTATTAAGGAGTTAACATTTTACAGGGTTGGTTCAGTACTTTATAGAACTTAAAATCCGAAGTTGCCCTTCAATATAGACGTCTACAGTACAGACAGTTGTACAAAATAATGTAATGACTGGTGCTTAACATAATTAGACTTCTATAACTTCCATTTGTCAGGTAAACGAAACACTCCCTTTCAAAGTTGCTGCAGCTTTAGGAGTTCACAAACTCCTAGCTCTCCAGTTTCTATTAGCACATTTTAAACCTTCTTCAGGGACTGGAAGCCAAACCCCCAAACAAAAGCTTTAATCTGAACCAACACTGGGAAACGGTAATGTCAGAAGCTCTTTTATTTTTCATGGAGAACAAAAATACAGAATATATTTACTAACTTATTTTCCAATAAAGAGAATATACTTTGTATTTAGAGAAAAAAATGCTTAATTGTCAGGAGTTGCTTTTGTAGAATGATCAATAAGTTCCTTATCAACTGTGTCAAAGTGATACCAGGGCCCATCTCCTCTCGAACGCATTAAGTTTCGTATTTTCATCTCCTTTAACCGTAATTCAGCCTTTTCAGTTTCAATCTGAAGGACGGCCAATGTTTTTTCATAATCCTTTTCAGGACAATCATAGAAAGTACGGACAATCCATCTTGATATGGGATGCTGAAAATATTCCCAATGTTCTGGGATATAGCCTTCTGGAATTTCTGCTAGTTCAGCTGGACCAATGAATACATTCACCAGAGTTATGATAATTGCCACTGGAATCCCAGTCAAGAAAACGTAGAATCTCGCTAACTTCAAAAAACGCTTGTCATAGAATCCCGTAGGTTTGATGATAAATAGTCTTTTCCCATGGCCTCCACTGTGTCGAACAGGAGCAACAGCCTTCGGAAAGCCACGAGTGAGGAAGCCCCCAAATCCGAGTCGAGTGCCGAGGCGGCGGCCAGACAGAGCTGCCACCGCCGTAACGGAAGCCCGCTGCAACAGACTCATGGCCGCCTGAAAAAAAATCTTTTGACATATGCTTAGCTTCAAATTTTAGAAAGGCATGTTCTAAATATAAAGAGGCCTAAAAAAATTAAAAGTTTATTAGAGAGCATTTTTTTTTGACTCAACTTGCAGCACTAGAGTATTCTGTGATATAACTTACCACTTCTTCCATCTTCAAGGGCTTTCAGCAAGTCTCAGTTCACGGGAAGATTTGACATTACGTCGAAATTGAGACAGTTTTGTTCCCATTATTATATCTAACTTGTGAAATAAAATATGTGAGATATGTTTTGGGCCAGGTGTGGTGGTTCATACCTATAATCTCAGCACTTTGGGAGGCCTAGGCAAGTGGACTGCCTGAGGCCAGAAATTCAAGACCAGCTTGGGCAATGTGGTGAAATGCCATCTCTATTAAAAACACAAAAATTAGTCATGTGTGATGGTGCATGCCTGTGATCCCAGCTGCTTGGGAGGCTGAGACAAGAGAATCGCTTGAACCTGAGAGGTGGAGGTTGCAGTGAGCCGAGATCGTGCCACTGTACTCCAGTCTGGGGAAAGAGTGTTGCTCCATCTCAAATAATAATACTAATATATGTTTTGGATCTAAAAACATTTGCTTTTACTCAGTGAAGCTAGAGATGAGTAAAAACCCCAGCAACTGAATTGTTGCCATGAAAGAAACACTAGGCATGGGAGAAGCTTATTTATCATTCTTTCAGTTGTTAGTTCTAAGTGGTGCATACGCAGTATGTTTCTAACAATTGACTTGCATTGGGCCGAGTGCGGTGGCTCACGCCTGTAATCCTAGCACTTTGGGGGGCTGAGGTGGGTGGATCACCTGAGGTCAGGAGTTCAAGACCAGCCTGGCCATCGTGGTGAAACCCCATCTTTAAAAAAAAAAAAAAGAATTGACTTGCATTGTATATAATCAGTGAATAAGTCTCATGAAGTTAATATTAACCTTGAAAACCCAATATATAACCAACTGGTGGGCTCTTAGCAGCTCAGAAGTCAAGTTAACTTCTTTGGGTTAATACATCTTTGAGGCAGTGTAGTGCAGTGGTTAACATGCCTAGTTTGAATCCCAGCTGTGCCTCTTATTAACCTTGGATATTTTATTGAAACACACTGCCTTAGTTCCTAAATCTGTAACATGTAAATATTTACCTCATCATGTTCTTGTTTTGACTAAATGAGTCAATACCGTATAAACAAAATGCTTACTACTTTTTACATAGCAAACGAAGATTAAATATTAGCGATTCTTGCTAGTATTAGCTTTGTCTTTGTATTTTGACTTCTGTCTCATTTCTTTTGGGGTGGTAAAGGCCAGGTCTGCTTTCAGGAGGCTGGGGAATATAGAGGAAGAAATAAATTAAAGAGAAATGGGGTCAGGTATGGTGGCTCACACCTGTAATCCCAGCACCTTGGAAGGCCAAGGCAGGAGAAACATTTGAGCTGAGGAGTGTGAGACCAGTCTGGGCAACATGGTGAAACTCCATCTCTACCAAAAACACAACAGTTAGCTGAGTGTGGTGGCTCACGCCTGTAATCCCAGTACTTTGGGAGGCCTAGGCGGGTAGACTGCCTGAGGCCAGGAGTTCAAGACCAGCTTGGGCAATGGGGTGAAATGCCATCTCTATTAAAATCCCAGGTCCTTGAAAGGCTGAGGCAGGAGGATCGCTTGAGCCCTGATGGTTGAGGTTGCATTGAGCTGTGAGAGTGTCACTGAACTCCAGCCTGGGTGACAGTGCAAGACCTTGTCTCAAAACAAAAACAAAAACAGATAACTGAGGAAGGGGGACAGGAAATACATACATTGAATTCTACTAGCCTGTTAAGAGGCTGTTTGAGAGAAAAATAATCAACATGAAAACTTACACTTTTTGTGTGTGTGTATGTATTTGTGTATGTGTGTATTTAGTTTTAAAATACAGCTGGATCTTGCATTCAACCTCCATTCATAGGGCCAACTTTTTGAAACATCCACATTAATCGTGATGATCAGTGGTTTACAATAATCTGCAAGTCACCCACATTTGCAAAGGTGTGTTTAAACATGGGGGCATTGTCCATGCTGGAATTCCCGTCTGTCTTTGAAACAAACAATGAGGCCCCATTGAGAGGCCCCAGCCAGAGAGGAACTGCAGATTTCTTCATCCTCCGTCTCTGTTCACCTTTCCAAAGCTGCCCTTTGGCCTCTTATGAAATTGATTGTTTGTACTGGCCTGGGGCTGGCTAAGTTAGTTTGGTTTAAGAGGGCTTTTCTGTTTTGGGAAAGAAACCTTAGATCTTTTCTTCCAACTAATAAAGATGTACACAACAAGAGCTCAGACCATTGTGGCCAAAAGGCCTCGTAAGTATGGGAGGTGAGGATGACCACCAAAGGACTGAATAGTCACAGCTGCCCTCTCTCTCTCTCTCTCTCTCTCTTTCTGGACCTTGCTGGAATGTGCTGCTTATAGGGTTGCTACTGATAAGTAGCCAACCAGGTGTTTGGTTGAAGAGGCCATTAGGTAATTATGTCAGGACTAATTCTCTGCAAGAACTTTGTGCGTTCACATTCTTCTCTGCCTTGGGCCCCAAGAACAGCGACTGGCATTCTGATGTCACAGAGGAAGAAAATACATGCATTGACCCTTAAGTGTGGCTCTGAGTGGCCCTTGCTGGGGTGACATGGATTCTCCAGTGGTATTCAGAGTCATTTAAAAAGAGGTCAGGGCCAAGCGTGGTGGCTCACACTTGTAATCCCAGCACTTTGGGAGGCCGAGGTGGGTGGATCATGAGGTCAGGTGATCAAGAGCATCCTGGCTAACACAGTGAAACCCTGCCTCTACTGAAAATACAAAAAGTTAGCCGGGTGTGGTGGTGTACACCTGTAGTCCCAGTTACTCGGGAGGCTGAGGCAAGAGAATTGCTTGAACCCGGGAGGTGGATGTTGCAGTAAGCCCAGATAGTGCCACTGCACTCTAGCCTTGGTGACAGAGTGAGACTCTGTCTCTAAATAAATAAATAAATAAATAAATAAAGGTCAAACGGGGCACACAGGAGCACAGCAGCCCATGTAGACAATCTAGGTCTTGCCCTGGAGGCCCCACCCCTACCTTCTTTTTGGGTAAGGCCTGATATGGTTGTCTACCTGCCAAGCCCTCCTTTCCTCAAAGAGTGTTTTTGCTGGGTTTTCACAAACCTGCTGTCGAGTCGTGCACTGTTTGTTCCTTGATCTGGTGGTTGGGGCTGCACTGGTTACATTTGGGTAGGTAGACAGACTCCTCACAGTGTGAAAATGAAGGGGAGGACAGGGCAGCCACCTAAACTGCCTAAGAAGAAAGTTGCCTAATCCTAAGTGTTTCAGAAACCTATAATTTTTAGTTTAGGTAAAACTCAGATAGATTGAAATTCCCCCTTGAACCTTTTTGCATTTGATAAGAGTTTTATTTCCTGAAACTGACAGCAGTGACAGTTGTGTTGGATTTCAGCCCTGAGTATTTATTTCTAGATTTAACAATTTGTTTTGTCTTTGTAGCAAACAATTGCCTTCGTTCCTTTCTCTCTTCCTCTGTGTGTGTGTGTCTCTCTCCCCGCTTCCTTTCTTTGCAATTTCCTTCTTTTCTCAAGCTTATGATGAAAATTGACCCTTCAATTTTGTTTTCAGATGAAAGCTCAAACAACAAGCAGCCGCTTGCCTCCATTAGTGGCTCTGGGTTGTTCTTGCAGGAGAAATCACTATCAGCGAATCATCATCCACTTAGAGTGGGCTGCAGAGGCCAGGCAGCTTCCTGACTTCGCTCTCCGGGGGCCTCTTAGAAATGGGCAAGGAGTGGCCCTGGCACTGGTGCCATTCAGCTAGGCACTGGAGGTACGCTTTGCTGCATTGTGGTACCTGATGAGCAGCATATGGTGGTTGGGTACCTTGCACCCAGGCTAGAAGGTTAACTTCCATTTAGCTTTATTCAACCCTGCATCACAGAAGTGGTGGGTATGTGTTTGTGTGTCCCTGTGTGTATATGATTGATACGGCTAGAGGCTTAGCTGTCCATCTGCAAAAAGTTTCTTAAAGGGACCTTATGATGAACCACATAGAATTTGTAACTTGGTCACAAAATTTGGACCATTAAAGGACCTGAAAATAGCGCTTCAGTTTTATAGGTCACACCTTTCTCTAAGCTCAGTTAATGAGCAAATACTTATTCTTTACAAGATTAGCCAGGTGTATTTAGTGAATGTTAACTTTAGCCTTGGCTGCTTAGCCCTGCTGCTAATGAGGCCAAAGTGGGAATTCCTGCCTCTTGTGGACCAGTTACCTTCACTCTCTTTCCTGGCCACTGACCCCTAACCCTCGCCAGCTGGCTTGTGAATGTCTGCAGTTGGATGTGCGGGGAGCTGAGGGAAGGTGTTGTGTGGATTAGTGTAAATCCATGTCGCTCCTGGGGAAAAGCTGCACACACATACTCCACCGAACAAAGGTCAAGTGCATTGTCTCCACTTTTGAAAGGCAATAGAGTTGATTAAGGTTAACTGGAAAATGCTGATGTGGGCTAGAATTTTGGACTTTTGCCAGGACATATGCAACATTTAAAGTGATTCCTGGAAACCTGTGCCCATGGTTCACTGGTAGAAGAACTTAAGAAGAAAACAGTGGAAACCAACAAGGAGAGTGTGATTACCTTTAAATATGCAGCAACAAAAGGGGCATGGAAATAGCTTAAAAATATGTTTTCTAGGAAAGTAATATTTTCCAAAATCTTAAGATGGCTTACATCATATTTCGGTTGTAGGTTCTTGGTTCCTACTGTTGCCAAAATGAGATATATAGGTTCCATTTATATTATAGCCATTTATTAAGGATTACATGTTAAATAGAAATCTTGCAGTTATAGAAAACTTAGGATTTTAAACAAACATTGAGGAGCATATAATGTTCTACAAGATAAATATTTGTAAACACTTCAGTCCTTCAACATGTGTATTTTTAAAAACAAACAAAACCCATCAATATTTACCCTAAGT